GTTCAGTCGTTCGGTCACGAGAATATGCTATTTGTGTCGCTGCATTTGAAATGTCACCCGAAACAATTCATTTGTCCAATTTGTGTAATTCAATCGTGTGTGATGACATTAGATGCAGCTGCAGCATCTCGCGCTCATTTCCCGCAGATTCACAGCTATTTTTAAAGCGAGACGCGGCGTCTGAAGACGAGAGGCTCGTTTGTCTGCCTGATTAACCTGTTTATGCATTTGTTTAATTAAAGTCAGATGGCTCATATAGAATCATTTATACATGATAATCAAACATCTGAGCATCTGTTGCTGAGATTCAGCACTTTTCCAGAACAAACAAACAGCCTGCGTGAAAGTCATGTGCTATTATTTAAACTAGATTATTGTTGTGAATAAATACAGAAACAGATAAAGTACATCCTTTATTTAATGATTGTCTAGCATTATTTTAGTTGCTGCTTCGTTCATGTTCTCAACTGTTCAGTTTCAGTCACTGAGTGATTTCTGAAGAATCTCAACTCTATTAGGAGTGTCGTGTTGTTTGTTTGTTGGTTGCATGTTGAATGTGTGTTGGTTGCTTGTCGGTTGTGTATCGGTTGTGTTTTGGTTTCGTATCGGTTGCGTGTCGGTTGCATGTCAGTTGCGTGTCGGTTGTATGTCAGTTGCGTGTCGGTTGTGTTGGATTCGTATCGGTTGCGTGTCGGTTGTGTTTTGGTTTCGTATCGGTTGCGTGTCGGTTGTGTTTTTGTGTTTTGGTTTCGTATCGGTTGCATGTCGGTTGTGTGTCGGTTGCGTGTCGGTTGTGTTTTGGTTTTGTATCGGTTGTGTGTCAGTTGTGTTTCGGTTGTGTTTTGGTTTTGTATCGGTTGCGTGTCGGTTGAGTTTTGGTTTCGTATCGGTTGCGTGTCAGTTGTGTGTCGGTTGTGTTTTGGTTTTGGATCGGTTGCGTGTCGGTTGTGTGTCGGTTGAGTTTTGGTTTCGTATCGGTTGCGTGTCAGTTGTGTGTCAGTTGAGTTTTGGTTTCGTATCGGTTGCGTGTCGGTTGTGTTTCGGTTGTGTTTTGGTTTTGTATCGGTTGTGTGTCAGTTGTGTGTCGGTTGAGTTTTGGTTTCGTATCGGTTGCGTGTCGGTTGTGTTTCGGTTTTGTATCGGTTGCGTGTCGGTTGTGTGTCGGTTTCGTATCGGTTGTGTGTCAGTTGTGTTTCAGTTGCGTGTCAGTTGTGTGTCAATTGCATTTCGGTTGCATGTTGGCGGCGTGTTGATTGTGTGTCAGTTGTGTGACGGTTGCGTGTGGTTGATTGTCGGTTGCGTGTCGGTTGTGTGTTGGCTGTGTGTTGGTTGCATGTTGTCTGTTGATTGCGTGTTTGGTGTTTCCTCATGCCTCTTTCACAGGCAGATTTTCACACTAATGTAGCCTACTCATTCATTTTGTCATTCAGAGAGCAGCTGGAGATCTGAACGTCTGTGAGAGATTTGAACCAGAATGTTGTATAATATCACAGACTTTACAAAAATATTAAGCAGCAAAAAGTCTGATCTCAGCATGATCTCAATGTGACTCCCATAGGAAACCTGTCTGCACTGACTAGGCATAAGATGGTATCAATTTTCATGTTGTGATTGATTGCTAATGCTTTTATCACGGTATACGGTATTATCACAATATTGAAATTTAGTTGCAAAAAAGTGTTGTCATAATACAGTATAAAAGGTTTAATAACTTTTTTCTTATAACAAAAATAACTGAACATTTAAATACAATAAAGCAATACACAAAAAATGTATAAAGTAAACCATTTCACACAAAATAAAGTGCAAAAGAATTATAATGAACAGGTAACACTTTACAATAATATCTAATTAATTAACCTTAGTTAATGCATTACATTCACAATGCCTACATTTGCTACAGAAGTTATTCATCTTTGTTAATTCAGGTTCATTAAATAACACAGTTACAACTATGGATTTTAACAACGTGTTATTAATATTATAAACACACATAAATATTGGAATACCTAAGATTAATGAATGTTTAGAAGAATTTTTCATTGGCAGTTTATGTTAACTAATGAATTAACTAATGGAGCGTTAACTTAAAGTGTGATCGAACAATAAATAATCATAAAATTTTCAAACAATATCTGGGGCAGGGGTGTCAAATTCAGTTCCTGGAGGGCCATAGATTCAACTATAATTAAACGCACCTGGTCCAGCTCATCAAGTCCTTCAGGCTTATTTGAAAACTACATGTTTGTGTGTTGGAGCAGGGTTGGAAATAAACTCTGCAGGGCTGCGCCCGCCCCCAGACCTGTACATCATCTAACATTTCATACAGCTGACTGTTGACAAATATGATGCAGGGCAAGAACTTCATAAATGCAGTTATGCCCTAAAATTAAAGATATTGGTGCAAAAATGCCCCTGTATGAGTTTTTGTCTCATATTTATATCATACAATAAGCGATATCACACGAGTGCTGTTTGTCCCGAATATCACGAGTGCAAATGTGATTTTATGCCACAGTTCAGTAAATAAGAAGCTGATATTGTGTTATATTTTAAACACAATATTATGTTTTTGTTAAATTTTGCAGAGAACATTACCTTTAAAGCCATAGCAGAATTGTTGTGCGTCTCCGAGCAACACAGCGGTGTTTAGTTTCTGAATGAATCCGTGTTTTGAACGAATCGTGTGAATCAATGATTCAAAGCCCCATTCATAAAGAGAGCCGTTTACTGAATTCCTGAATGAATCAGTCGTTTGAACGAATCAATGAAGACATTAACCGCCACCTGCTGGCAGATTTAGTTTCTTATTTAGAGTATCATTTAATTAATAATAATAATAATAATAACATTAAAGGGAAATTTGACCCAAAACATTTAAATTCTGTCATTATTTACTCACCCTCGTGTCGTTTCAAACCTTTCTTTTGTGGAACATAAAAGAAGGTTTTTTGAAGACTGTTGGTAAATAAGCTGTTCTGGTTACCAATGACTTGAACAAACAATACTGACATGTTTCTCAAATTATCTTCTTTTATGTTGCATAGACTGTTAGGCTGTTGTAGCCTAAATGTTTATGTGTAATACATTTTTTGTTGAATCAAATATTTCTAAAGCTACAATTTGTAATGTCTACTTGATACTTTCTAATTTAACACAAAAATAGCTTTAAAAAAATATTTTGTGGGTATTTTCACAATCAATTTTATTTTGCGATTAATTGCGATTAATTCGATTAATTAATCGAAACATCATGTAATTAATTAGATTTAACATTTTAATCAACTGACAGCTCTAATATATATATATATATTAGAGCTGTCAAACGATTAATCGATATTAATCACATACAAAATAAAAGTTTTTGTTTACATAATATATGTATGTGTACTGTGTTTATTTATTATGTATATATAAATACACACACACACACACACATGCAGTATATATTTAGAAAATATTTACATGTATATACATTTATATATTTATATTTATATTATTATGTTTTATATTATATATAAATATATTTAATATATAAACGTAACATATTTTTCTTACATATATACATGCATGTGTGTGTATTTATATA